GTGGAGCAGGCACATCCATAGAAAAGCTTTGAGAGAGTCTCAGCTGGGCTGTTTGGTGAAAGCATTTCTCTCCCAAAGACAGTTAACAAATACTGAAGAATGACCATTTCTTCAAATGTGAAAAAGCAACACAAGACTTCAAGGACATAAAAACCAAGGAAACATGACACCACTGAAAGAACACAATAATATTTCAGTAACTAACCACCAAAAACAAAGGTTTGCCAAAAATCAATCTTCAAGTTGCCTGAGCAAAAATCCAAAACAATTGTTATAAGAAAGTTCAGTGAGCTACAAGACAACACAGATAAACAATTTAGTGACATCAGGAAAACAACACAAGAACAAAAGTAGAAGTTCAACAAAGAAATAGAAAAAAATATAGAGCCAAACAAATTTTGGAGCTGAAGAATACAATGACTAAACTAAAAACAAAAAAGGGAATAGAGAGTTTCCAAGATGATGGATCAAGTACAAGAAAGAACAAGAAAAGTCAAAGACAGTCATTTAAAATTATCTGGTCAGAGTACAAAAAAGAAACACAAAGAAAAGAAATGAAGAAATGTGTACAAGATTTATGGGACACCATCAAGGAAGCTAACTTTTGCATTATTGGAGTCTCAGAGGAAAAGAGAAAGAGAATAAATGCTTATTTAAGGCATAATTGCTAACAACTTTCCAAATCTGTGAAGAGATACAGATATCTCGATACATGAAACTCAAAACTCTCCAATCATATTTAACCCAAAGAAGACTTCTTTAAGACATTATGTCAAATTGTCAATAATCAAAGTTAAAGAGAGGATCTTGAAAGAAGCATATCACATTTAAAGGTACAGCAAAAGGATAGTAGCACTTCTAAGTAGATAATTTCTAGGCCAGTACATGGTGAGATGATAAATTCAAGTTACTGAAAGAAAAAAAAACTGTCAACCAAGAACTCATTACCCTGTAAAGCTGTTTTTCAGATATGAGGAAGAGATAGTCTTTATCAGACAAACAAAAGCTGAGGGAGTTTATCATCAATGAATCTGCCTTACAGGAAATGCTAGAGAATGTTCTTCAAGCTGAAATGAAAAGCCAATAATTAGTAAAATGAAAACATGTTCAAATATAAAATTCACTGGTGAGGTAAATATACAGTCAATTCAGAATATTCTAATACTGTAATAATGGTGTGTAAATCACTTTTGATGCTAATATAAAAGTTAAAAGACAAAAATATTTAAAATACATGATTTGTTAATGGATATACAATTTTTTAATGTAAATTTTGACACCGAGAATGTAAAAAGTAGGGAGAATAATGTGTAGAGTTTTGTATGCAATCTATTTCAAGTTATTATTAACTTAAAATAGACTGTTGAAACCATGTTTTATGTAAGACTATGGTAACCACAAACCAAAAACCTATACTAGATACACAAAACCTATACTAGATACACAAAACAGAAAGAGATTAAAGCATACCACTACAGAGAATCAGCAAATCACAAAGAAAGACAGGAAGAAAGGAACAAGGGATATACAAAACAGACAGAACACAACCAAGAATATAGCTATATTAAGTCCTTAACTATCAATAATTACTTGAATGTAAATGGATTAAATTTTTTAATGAAAAGACATAGGGTAGCTAAATGTATTTAAAAACAAGTTGCCACTATATGCTGCCTATCGCAAACACACTACAGCTCTAAGGATACACACAGAATGAAAGTAAAGGGATGAAAAAAAGATGCTCCATGAAAATGGGAAACAAAAGAGGGCAGGGGTGGCTATACTTACATCAGGCGAAATAGACTTCTAGTCAAAAATTGTAACAAGAGACAAAGAAGGTCATTATATAATTATAAAGGGGACAATTCATCAAGAAGACAGAAAAATTATAAGTATATATGCACATAACATCAGAGCACTTACATATATAAAGCAAATATTACCATAACTGAAGGGGGAAATAGACAGCAATATAATAATAATAGTGGACTTCAGTAACCCATTATGAACAATGAATAGATCATTCACACAGAAAATTAACAAGGGAGAAAATAAAGTTACCAAGAATACCCAAAAGGGAAGGGATAAATGTTATTGGGAAAACTGGATATCCATATGCAGTTGATCATTATCATACACCATACACAAAGATCAATTTGAAATGAATTAAAGACTTAAATGTAAGACTTGACACTGTAAAACTCCTATAATAAAACAGGGAAAAGCTCCATGACGTTGGTCTTGGCAAGTTTTTTTATATGACACCAAAAACACAGTGACAAAAGCAGGAAACAATCAACAAAATGAAAGTCAACTCACAGAACAGGATAAAATATTTGCAAACCATGTATCTGATAGGTGGCTAATATTTGTCTTAATCTGTTTCTGCTGCTTATAGCAGAATATCTGAAACTATGTAATTTATGAAGGAAAGAAATGTATTATTATTTCTTAGTTATGGAGGATGGAAAGCCCATGGCTGAGGGGGCACATCTGGGTGAGAGCGTTCTTGCTGGTGGGAACTCTCTGCAGATTCCTGAGGTGGTACAGGGCATAACATGGCAAGGTGGCTAACATGCTATGATTAGGTCTTTCATCTTCTTATGAAGCCACCAGCTCCACTTACATGATAATTCATTAATCTATTAACAGATTAATCCATTTATGTGGGTAGAACCCTTATGATATAATTGCCTCTTTAAAGCTCACTTCTCAATGCATATTTGGATAATGCATAGCAATATCCAAAATATATAAGGAACTCAAGCAACTCAAAAGCAAGATACAATTCAAAATATAGCTCAAACAAGCTGATTATAAAATGGACTGAGGACCTAAATAGACATTTCTCAGAGAAGACAAACAGCCAACTAATAAATAAATATAAAGGTGCCTAACATCATTAAGCATCAAGAAAATGCACCTCACGCCAGTTAGGATGCATTCAAAAAGTCAAGTGATAACAAGTGTTGGTAAGGATGTGGAGAATAGGGAACCCTTGTACACTGTTGTTAGGAATGTAAATTAATACAGCCATATGGAAAACAGTATTGTGGCTCCTCCAATAAATTAAAAATAGAACTACCACATGATTCAGCAATGCCACTTCTGGGCATATATTCAAAGGAAATAAAAATCATTTTCTTGAAGAGATATTTGCATTCCCATATTCATTGCAGCATTATTTAGAATACCCAAGATATAGGAATAAACTAGGTGTCCGTCAGTGGATGAATGGATAAAGAAAATGTGATACACAGACACACACAACAAAGAGTATTCAGCCTTAAGAAAAGAAAGAAATCCTGCCATTTGTGATGATCTGAATGAACCTGGAAGACCTCATGCTAAGTAAAGGTAGCCAGGCACAGAAAGGCAAATACTGCCTGCTCTCATGTATATATGAACCTTTAAAAGTTGAACTCAGCAGAAAGGTGATTACCAGAGGTTGAAGGTGGAAGAAATGGGCAGATGTTGGCCAAAGGGTAAAAACTTACAGTTTTATAACAAATAAGTTATGTAGGCCCAATGTACAGCATGGTGACTATAATGTATTGTATACTTGAAATTTACTAAGAGAGTAGATCTTACATATTCTCATCACAAAATGAAAAATAAGAGCAAGTGTGTGAAGTGGTAGATATGTTATTTAGTTTGGGGCAATCATTTTACTATGTATACATATATTAGAATAGCACATTGTACACCTTAAATATATATAATTTTTATCTATTATACTTAAGTAAAGCTAAAGAAAAGACAAAAGTAATCTGAGTAGTCAAGAGAAATTCACCATCCCAAATCTCACAAATGCTAACTACTCATTGCACCTTTCTTAATGGAAATTTTAAGAAATCAAGGAATAAATTCCTAAAAGTTCATCACATTAAAGCATGACTTATGCATTAAAATTCCAAAGGTACAAAGAAATGCTGCTATTGTCTACTGTTGTCACTTATATCTCATATTTCTTGGGAACAAACCTCTTTACTAATAGTCCATCGGAACACCAGATTTAACCAGTGCAAGATGCTACCTCAATGTTAGGAATTTAAGGGTACACAAATAAGCAAAATAAAGCTACACACCATAGGAAGGGAAGAGAATTAACATGTACTCAGCACCTACTATGTGTTATTCACTCTGGTGGGCATTTTCTTTTCATTTTCTTAATATTTAATATCTACAAACAACCTGTCAACCACACAAAGATGAACTACCCAAAAATCCCTTCCTGGCTGCCAAAGTCCTCCAGTAGCCCACAGGTTGCTTTGGTGCATATTAAGAAAAGGTGTTCCTTCACACTGCCACATGTGTACCTATGCAACAATCTTGCATGTTCTTCACATGTACCCCAAAACCTAAAATGCAATAAAATAAATAAATGGGAAAAAAGAAAAAAAAAAAAGAAAATGTGTTCCTTCCTCCAGGTGAATGCAGCCCCACCCCAGAGACACTGTTGGGGATTTCAGTTCCCTTAACCCTTTGTGCAGTGAACAACCTATACAATCATAATACACTTGTCCTGAAGACACATGAAGGCATCTCACTCTTAGCATGTCAAAACCCAAGCCCTAATCCCTTCTACACACTGTTGCTGGCACCTGTATTCACCTAATTGCTCGGACTATTTACCTCGGAGTCATATTTACCTCCTTTCTCACTCTCTTCATCCAACCCCCCATCAAGTCCCATCTCTGATGCCTTCAAATTATACTCCAAATCAAACCACTTTCCACCACTACGACACTCTTAGCTTAAGTACCAATATCTCTTGCCTCCTAACTTGTTTCCTTGTATTCCTCTTGCCTTCTTATAGTCTATTCTCCTCACCACAGTCAGGGAGATCCTTAATAAATAGCTCTTAAATGAATAAAGTAATATATTATTGTTATCCCTAATTCACGGAAGAGAAACTAATGCTGAAAAAACATTAATGGCTTGCCCAAGGCCACAGCACTTGCAAGTGACAACCTAACCAGGAATTTAGAATTGTCTTATTTCCAAATTTTAGAAGGTTAGAGAGTTTATTCTTATATAATTTAGTAATAACTTAAGTTTTAATTTCCTGTTTACAGATATTTAGTGTACAGCCTACAGTCTTCATAACTTTCTAATCTGGGCTCCTTTGCATTCTTAGGGAAAAACTTGAATCAGTAAACATTTTATTGCTGTTTTAATAAGTCATATTTAAAATTCATAAAGCGAAACAACTATTTCTCTGACTTTCCAGTCCCCTTAACATAACCTATAAATCTCAGTCATCCTAAGTCTCTAAGTTCCCAAGCTATACTAGCCTTCCCTCTAGTATTTCTAGGCATAGGAATATAAATGTACTGATCAACTTGAGACTATAGAAATCTTCTGGCAGGAAGATGTTAATATTAGATAAGGTCATTATGTCAATGTAGGTACATGAAATTCCATACTCAACGTTCAGTTTAATTTAAATATATCACTTATAAAAGCTGCATGGTTATTCCAAAATTTTTTTGAAATTAAATTTATTCTTAGTGTTTTTCTAGCAAACGTAAGTGTAGTACATGAAAGTTTTCATAACAAATTTGAAGTGTAGCATATTAAAATATTCAGCACCTCAGTGGTATTTTTAATTTTTGTGGCAACTGTATTAACATCTTGATATATTTTCCATTTTTAAAATCCCCATAGAACCATAAGAAACAAGAAACATTATTATAAAACAGAGAATGTATTTTGTACTTGATTCCCATCACAATAACTATCAAGAATAGAAGGAGAGCACTCATTTTCAGAAAAGAAGCTGAAAAAGAATACTGTTGTCTTTACATTTCTGAGTAGATCTTTAACAATTAGTAAAATATCAAGTGACACTATGATTCAATATAATTTAAATCAGCTACAAAGTATCAATATTACTGTTTAGTTTTACACTTTTATGAAAACAACAGTGATAACATGTCTAGTTTGTCTTGTAATTTTCTTTGTCTCCAGATCTTTTAGAAAGCCTGTTTCCATGACACCACTAAGAAACAAGTTTTAGATCATAGGATGCACATTCAGTCACAATCAATGTACACATATGTATGCATTATAATTTGCCATATTTTCATTGAACTTGAATTCTCCATCAGGTGAGGAAACATTTTACCATTCCTTATTTTATTTGACCTCAACTTATTTTATAACTATATATTCTTCTGTTTTAATGTTTGCATGGATAGTTTATTATTTCTTCTCACTAAATGTATTTATCGTAATTGATCTCTGCCTGGTTTTTTATGTCATTTAACTTATAAATTAAGTCATGAGAAGATTTTGCCTCCAGTTTCTTGTCTAATTGGATATTTGAGGGTGTTGTTTGGGTGATCCTCTGTAATGATACCAAAACTACAGAAATAAAATATCCAAACTGATTTTTCTTTCGTTTGTGTTTTCAGAGGGATCCAAAAGAGATTACAGTAAGTACTATCTTGTTTCTCAACAAAAATTTGCTTCCCCTTAGCAACATTCCCCTAGATTGTAAATGCTTTGGAAGAAAGAGAAATCCTGTCATATGTCAAGTCATATGAACACTAAGTTTTCTAGTGCTGGTCTAGAATGATCTGTCAGCAACAAACAGGTTTTCAAATTGGCTGGGAGAAAAGGAAAGCAACAGAAGAAGTGATGAGCAAGAGAAAAGGTAAGTAATGAAGATAAAAGGGAGAGAGAGAAGAAAATAGAGAAGGAAATGGAGGGAGGAATTAGGACAATAGGAATGGCATCTACCTACTATAAATTTTTAGAGATCCAAAGCACGTGCAGTAGCTCGTGGGAGTGGCCTTTGATACCCATCACCAGATCAGTGATGGCTCCCCGGGCATAGGTGTCAACTCCTGAGAAGGGGGTGACAGTGACTGAAGCTGATATGCAAAGATTAGAGATCCAAATTCTCATGATTCACCTCATGTTTTCTGTGTGTGTATTTCAGCACCGTCAGCCAACTCTCTAGGTAAGTGCTTTGTGATATTCTTTTAATTCTACTGTCATCTGGTTTGCGAGCCCTATTGTTTCTGTGTTTTTTAACTTTTAAGAAAGTTTTTTAAATTAAGTATAGAAATAATTAACACTTGTATATCTATACCTTAGATGTGACAAATTGATAATATTCTTGTCATATTTCTCAAGTTATCATGGTTTATTTCACTCCCTTCTTCCCAAAGTCTTATTAGTATGTTTTAAATATTTTAAGTCTATTTACATATATTTATAGTCTCTACCTATCACTGAACAAAATACAGTATCTTTTTTAAAAATGTTTAATTTTACAAAAATGGCATCCGTCTGATAGTATCATTACAATTCGCATTCTTCTCTCAAAATGTAGTATTGAAATCCAGGTTATACACTTTACTATTGAATAATATTCCAATTTATGAATATATAATATTTTTCTGTTATGTCTCCTATTGATGCATTCTCAGTGTTTCCAATTTCTGCTATCACAAATAATGCTGCAAAGGTTTTCCTTAAGTAGATGGAAAAGTGTTTATCCAGGGTGCATACCCTGAAGTAGGATTAATGATCACATTGTATATGAACATTTGTATAATTTATGTATATTTTAAATTTTACTAGCGATTAATTAATCAAGCTCCTTGGTAGTTACATAGAGGCATACAAAAATATATAAAAGTTTCCTCATTTCTCTGCATTAGTAACAGTCCCAGATGTTAACATATTTTTATATTATTAACACTTGAATACATGTACAGTATTTAAAATCTCCATTTCCCTGCTCACTCCTGAAATTGAGTATCTTCTCATAAGTTTACTAGCTAGTTAGGCTTCACCTTATATAAATTGCTTGTTCATTTACTTCACCCATTTATGTATTAGATTATTGATCTGTAGGAATTATTTATTATTATGAAAGATCAACTTTTATATGTTATGTTAAATATTTGCAATTATCTCCTCCAATTCTCTCTTAGCTTTAAATTTTTTTGCTGTCTCTTGACTCTTAGAAGGCCTCCACTTACTCTGCCCCAACACCACACAATTTATTGTAATAAAACTTGTCAATCTTTTGTTCTCTTTTAGTCTCTGCTTTTTTGTTTGTTTCTTATCTGGGTATCAGAAATATATTATCTAATACTTTCTCTTAACAGTTTTAAAGTTTCCCTTTCCACATACAGGCCTTTAATCCAAATGGGGTTTTGTTAATTGTTTTTTGGTTTTGGTGAGTGATTTTAGAAATAATACAGGTGAGATCTAATTTTCCTCTCATCTGGAAAACCAACCAGATGGATTTCTTCTCATGTTGCTCCAACTAGATTTATTGACTTGTGCATTCTTTCTCCACTGATTTGTAATGCCGTCTTCATTATATATTTGTTTTTTCCATGGATTTTATTTTCTGTTCCAGTGATCTTTTGTCTTTTACTGAACCAATACTATATTGCTTTCACTACTAAAACTTTATAACGTTTATTATAAGAAATAGCACATTATTTTCATTCTTTTTCAGAAACGTGTTGGCTATTCTTGGGTGTTTTCTCTTACACAAGAATTTTATAATTTCTCAAAATCTCTGAGAGTCATATTTGACTCTTGAAACTTCATTGAAATTTGAGTCTGTAATTAATTTATAAAATCAGTTCTTCCCATGCATTAACATAGTTGTCTACTATTCGAATTTTCTCATATACCCTTCAATAATGTAATATAATTTTTTTCAGAAAGGTCTTTCATGTCTTTTGTTGGATTAATTCCTATACACATACTTGTTTTTTCTTTCTGATGTGAATAATATCTTTATATGGATTTTACAAATAATAATTGCTGGCATATAAGTTATATGTTGTATATCTGAGAGTAGATTTTATATCTAGCCACGCTGCTATGTTCTTTGAGTTCCAATAATTTTTAGATTCTCTTGAATTATACATGTAAAAAATCACGTCATCTGTAAAATCTGATAATCTTGAGTTTCCTTTTCCAATTTTTTTTTTTTTTTTTTTTTTTTTTTTTTTTTTTTTTTTTTTTTTTTTTTTTTTTTNTTTTTTGAGACGGAGTCTCGCTCTGTCACCAGACTGGAGTGCAGTGGAGCGATCTCTGTCACCAGACTGGAGTGCAGTGGAGCGATCTCGGCTCACTGCAACATCTGCCTCCCAGGTTCAAGTGATTCTCCTGCCTCAGGCTCCCAAGTAGCTGGGACTACAGGAACAAGCCACCATGCCCAGCTAATTTTTCCATTTTTAGTAGAGACAGGGTTTCACCATGTTGAACAGGATGGTCTCGATCTCTTGACCTCGTGATCCACCTGTCTCGGTCTCCCAAAGTGCTGGGATTACAGGCATGAGCCACCGCGCCTGGCCTCCTTTTCCAATTCTTGAAACCATTTTTTTGTCATAGCTTGGGCTATGTATATCTATGGCTAAAATTCCTTCTCTTTACTTTTGCTTTATTTTTGTTCCTTTTACTAGCTTGCTATATGAAGCTCTTAATTAATTTCCAGACTTTCTTATCTTTTTTTATTTTATTTTTATATGAGACACTTCATGAATTTGCACGCCATCTTCACACATGGACCATACTAATCTTATCTGCATCATTTCAATTTTAGTATATGTGCTGCCAAAGTGGGCACTCTTATTTTCTAATAGAAGTATCTAAGTAACTTCTAAATGCTGCTTAAACGCATACCCTCATATCCACTCATGTCCTCATGACTGTTTTTTTTACTTTAATTCTACACTGTCTGATATTAGCATTGTTCTAACATCTTTGTTTTAATTAGCATTTGCCTATTATATATATTTTTCATGCTTTTATTTTGAACCTTAGGAGTTTGTTTTTGTCTTGTGTCTTTTTAAATGGCATATTGCTTGACTTTGTTGATATTAACAATGTAAAATTTTCTGTTTCCTAACAGATGAATTTAGTTCATTTTATATTGTGAATTGTTATGTGTTTATCTAAATTTTGCCAATTTATATTGTGTTTTCAACTTACAGTTCTATGCTTTCTTCTTTTATTTTTTAAATCTTCTTTCCTACCTTCTGCTACAATATTAGATTTCCTTGTTTCTTTTGTTTTACTTACTGTTTTTCTGGATTTCGTTTTATTCATCCTTATATTCGTAACATGTATTATTTAATTTTTCTTTTTTTTTTTTTTTTTTTTTTTTTTTTTTTTTTTTTTTTTTTTTTTTTTTTTTTTTT